GTTTAGCTGATTGACATTTCCTGAACACTTTGCAGTAGTACTCCATTCTGATTCAATGTGATTGAATTCTCAGATTACTACCAAGTAACCCTCCTCCTCACCAAATTTTAAAATATGGTCCCAGAGAAAGCTATATTTGCATGATTTTGCCTTATTTTATAGCAGTTAGCAATTTTTTTCTCAATTTTTTTGCATCTCAAATTATTCTTTCAAATTTTAATTTTCAGCACATTGTGAATTGGTACTATACATTACTAGAAAATTAAAATCATGCATATAAAACATAAGCTCAGACTTTTAATTACTGGATTCAACACATAAAGTGACATTCCAATAAATAATAAGCATAACATAGGGAAAATACAGAACTTACAATTATAAAAACTATACACGGGAAAGTGTTTTTCTTTGCTAATCTGCAATTGTAATCGTACAAATAATTGTAAATCAAGTAAGTGATTTTTCTTGTTTTCTTACAAACTTTGAACTGTGAATGTCATTAACATTTTTTCAATTATAATGTCAGATGTTTTTCACATTTTGTCTTTTGTTAAAGCATCGTAATTTACATTATTCACAATAATAATCATTATTCACAGTTTAGTTTTAGACATACAGTGTTGCAGCACCTATCCAACCACCAGTGTCACCTCTCTGTACCAGTGCTCTCAAGTTCCCTCCCATAAGCCCCTCTTACCCCCAACACTGACCCCCAGTTTTTTCCCTTGACAGGCACCTTTCTACGTTCAGTTGTTAAAGTTTGAATATCTTGATTCCACTGTTGTTGACTCTGATTTGGATAGTTGACTCTGTCATTCCTTAACACCACCTTTGTACCTGAATCCCCTTACCTGGCACCCCTTACTTCTTGTCTGTCTCTTCTCCCCTTCCCAACCACTCTTTCTTTCCTTCTCCTCCCTATACTCTGGGGCCAAGGGTGATCTGGGCATTTCCCCCCCTTTAAAACATGGCAGTCCCTCAGCCAGTTCATTCTAAATATCACATAAAAGTGATATCATCCTTTGTTTATCCTTTTTTTTCTTTTACTTCTTGGGTCACACCAGCAATGCTCAGGGCTTACTCTTGGCTCTGCACTCAGGAGTTATTTCTGGCGGTACTTGGGAACCATATGGGATGTCAGGAATTGAACCTGGATCAGCTGCATGCAAGGCAAATGCACTACACGCTCTACTATCGGGAGGACAGTGGTAGTGATGATCCACTTATCTGTCACTCACTGGACATCTAAGTTGATTATAAATCTTAGCTGTTGTACTGAGTGCTGCAATGAATAATGGTGTGCATATGTTCTTTTGAATGGATGTATTCCTGTCTTGGGGATAGATACCCCAAGGTGGAATTACTGGGCGATATGGGAGCTCAATTCTGAGTTTACTGAGAACCCTCTGTACTGTTTTCTAGAGGGTTTGGACCAGACAACATTCTCATCAGTAGTGAATGAGGGTTCCTTTTTCACCACATCCCTGCCAGCAGAGATTGTTCTGTATCATTCTCACTGGTATAAAATGTTAGGTCATTGCTGTCTTGGTTTAGATTTCCCTGATAATAAATGATGTTGAGCATTTTTTCCATGGGCCTGTTAGCTACCCCTTGGTCTTCCTCAGAGAAGTGTCTATTCATTTTTTCTCCCCTCTGCCCACCCTTTTTAACGAGGCTTTTAGATTTATTTATTTATTTTATCTTTGTGTGTACTTTATAGCTCATGGATATCAATCCTTTGTCTGATGTGTTGAGTGAATATTTCCCCCCACTCAGCTTTTGTTAGTTTTAGCATGTATTTCTTTGACATATAGAAACTTTTAAGTTTAACGCAGTCTTATTTTAGTTTTGATTTTGTAACCTTTGCCAATGGCATTATGTCATTGAAAACTCCTTTGAGTTCTAATGCTTGCAGTGTAATGCCTATATTTTTCTCTACTTTATAGATTCAGGTTTGAGCTCAAGGTCTTTGATTGACTTTGAGTTGACTTTAGTGTATGATTTGAGATATGAAATATGGGTTCTTGCACATGGTTATCCAATCCTCCCAGCACCATCTGTTGAAGAGGATGTCTTTATTCCATTTCATACACTCAACTTTGTCAAAAATGAGCTGATCATATATATGGGGGTTTATCTTTAGATATTCTATTCTGACCCATTGGTCTGAGAGTCTTTATTTCAGTACCATGCTGTTGACTTTCCTAAGTCCTTGGAAAATGTTATCTGAATTTGGGTAGGGATTGCATTGAACCTATATAATACTTTAGGTAAGAAGGCCATTTCACCATTGTTGATTATTTGAATACATGAGGATGGAATATTGTTAGCTTTTTTTTTTTTAACTATACGGGGAGTCTGTTACATTTCTGAATGTAAGTTTTCTTATTTGTATTGATGGCATGTTACTCTTTTTTTGGTTGTTTATTTTGTTTTGGGGCCACACCTAGCAATGCACAGGACTTACTTCTAGCTATGAACTCAGGAATTACTTTTGGCAGTGCTTGGGGGAGCAAGGTGGGATGCTGGGGATTGAGCCCAGTTTAGCCACATGCATGGCAAGCACACTATTCATTGGATCATCACTCCGGCCCCTATAACTTGCTACTCTTAAGCTGTAATATCTATCTAAAACATTTTAAATTTGGTTGTAATAACATAGTAAAGAAACAAGTCTCACAAGAGGGTGTATTGACAGAAATAAAGAAGAAATTTTAAGAGAAAATTTAGCTGATCAGTATATTTATTTAAAACTTTTGAAGTAAAGCAGGTGGTTTTATCATTTTCAAATTAAGTCTTCATCTTTTATTAGTAACAAATTTCAACAATTTTATAGTGTTTAATTTTCTTGAAGTAGGGAATGATTTCTGGATTTCATGCACTTTTGGGTTATAGTTGGGAACTAACCTGAAAGCGCTATAGTTGTAATGTAGTCCTTTTGCGCTAGCCTAGCTGTCCTAACCTGATTATGACCTGTGCATTTGACAAAGTCTTCTGACTCCAAGCTTAAATATCAAAGTGCTTGCAGAATTTATAACTGCCTACTCTCCATTATTATGCTTTTTTCACCTATCAGTTAGCAAATCATTTCCCAATGGACCACTGGTGGCCATTGGTTCCCTTTTAGAGTTATGCTAGTGTAAATGATTTTTTTACCCTGTTGTCTCTAAATATAAGAGTTTGTCTCCTTGTTGTCAGTCCACATCTTCCTCACTTATACCACTGGCTCAGAATCTCACCCTTGTGACTTTGTCCCAAATTTATTTGTTCTGCACATTCATATGTAATTTTGTACTACTATGCATTGTCTCCTGTTTATGAGACCAAATGTTTTTTCACCAAGAATATATTGCAAGCTATATAAGAACAGAGATTTAGCAATGTACTAAACAAAATGTCTAAATACTTACTGAATACTCTTCAAGTAGATTGCTTGAAATGATAAAACATCAATGACCAACATGATAGATTTATACTTTGAGACATCTGAGTTTACATATACACTTATTATTGGTAAGCGATACATTCTTTCAAGGAGCAGTTAAGGAGCAGTTCTCTCAGACACCTCAGAAAACTTGTACTTTGGGTTGCCAAATCCAGGTGAAGCATGTGTTCAGTTGTTTGAACTATTTCCCTGATCTAATAAAATTTTCTCTTAACTTCATTGTTATCTATGTCCAAAACACTGATTTAAAGGATGCACAAGTACTATGTGATATCACCCATCTGCTAAATATAAATGAAGCAAGGTAATAGACAATATCGAACGGTAACAACCTTTGCCTCTGGATTACTGAACTGAGAATAGCAAGTAAGGGTAGTGTTGGCATGATGAGGTGGACTGGATATGGTATGGGGACATTAGTGAATATTCTTTGTTGCTTTGATGTTGAGATAACTGTGTATCAAAACATATATAAATATGTAACCTTAACTATAACAAAAACAAAAGTTTGCCTAGGGTAGGGTGGATGGGAGATACCTTGAGACACTGGAGGTTGCTGACACTGGTGATGGATTTGGAGTTGGAATATTGTATACCTGAAGTTTTATTATTGTTTTTGGTCCACACCCAGTGGTTCTCAGGGATCATTCCTGGCGGTGCTCAGGGTCCCAGGGATTGAACCTGGGTTGGTTGGGTGCAAGGCAAGTACTCTACTAGCTGTACTAATTCTCTAGCTCTGAAATTCTGTTATTAACAGTGTTGTAAATCATGGTGCATAATTAAAAGCTGGGGGAATAAATAAAGGACAATAAGAATAGAATATCATAGAATATCAAATAGTTTTTCTGCTTTCTTGACATGAAATATTAGTGCATATTTAAAAGCCAATTAAGATAGTGAGAAAGCCAATGAAGTTGAAGTTGGGGATGCAGAAATGAGGAGGCACCAGGCCATAACATAAGGGCATTGGTCAAGGGAAAAAAATTTGTTGGTTTACAGATTTTGTTGGTTTACAGATGAAGCATTTTTGTACTTCAAAACCATAAGGGTTAATGGTAGTGTAAGAATGTGACCTAAACAAACTCTAATAAGTAAATTTGAAAAAAAGAAAGTGAGTTTGCTAAGTAGGCTGGGTGGAGAGAGGGAGGGACCTTTGGGTCAGTGGTGGAAGTTTGCTGACACCAGTGGTGGGCTTGGAGTTGAAACATCGAATGCCAAAAATTGTTACTGAAAGCTTGTAAATCTGAATAAATGAATAGTTAAGGAGGGGTGGAGGCACGTAATAAAGCCAGTACAGTTGAGGATTTAGGAGACATTTGCTTTGAGATAGATATAAAATACTGAAGGAAGATGCAAAGTAGTGGTCTTCATATATTTGGTTCGATAGTCTTGAGAAAGAAACTATTTCACATTAAAAAGAAACATTTCTAGCATTTCATTGAAAAGGCCCTACTCTTTGGCCTCAGGAAGCCCCTTGCATCCCCACACAACCGCAATCAGTGTGAATGCCTGTGCCCCCTACCTGATTCCAGGTCCACATCTGTGTCTCCACAGCTCTCACCTGTCAGCTGGCTTCATTAACTTCTTCACCTACCTGGTCCCTATGGGCAGTGGAGTCTGTGGCTTCTGTTACCCGGGACTGCGGTTCAATCTCTCCTGCGCTGCTGAGTTTCTGGTGAGTATGGGGAAGGGGGAGAACCATGTCTCATGATGGCCTCAGGGGCTGTGTTGTCAGCCTGAAAGCCTCCAGGGTCTGCTCTCAATGGCTCTTAATCTCTTTACCTCTGCCTCCACCCTCTTCCCTTGTTCTTCAGACTTTTCTAGAAACTCCACTTATTAACCTTAACTATTTCTACTGACTTTTACCTGTTGGTTTTGCCTTCGTCAGTTTTGTTGTTCTGGAATATTCTCTCATAGCACTGTTTATTCCTTGACTTATTTGCAATCAGATAGTTATTCATGTGCCCTAATGGCTGTTCTCTGCTTTGTTCCCCACTGGTTCTCCACCCTTATTTATTTATTTTTTAAATTTTTATTAGTGAGAAATCATGAGGTACAGTTGTAGACTTACAAATTTTTGTGCTTGGGTTTCAGTTATACAATAATGAAATACCCATCCCTCCACCATTGCCCATTTCCCACCACCATGGATCCCAGTATCCCTCACACCCCCCATCACCCCCATCTCACCCTGCCTCTGTGGCAGGGCATTCCCCCTTGTTCTCTCTCTCTTATTGGGTGTTGTGGTTTGCAAAAGATCTCCACCTTATTATTGTGTGTCGTGTCCATCAGGCACTCACATGCATGTTGGGTGGATGACGCCATGGTGTTAGTGAATGGGCTGAGGGTGGGTTGTGGAATGAATTTGTACTTAAGTAATATGCTGTGCAGCAGTCAATCTTTTCTCCCCCATCCCCCAAATTTTATTTTATTAAAGTGCTCTGAGTTTCAAGTTATTTATAGTTGGGTTTTTGACATACAGTGTTCCATCACTGATCCTGCTCCATTGTTAACTTCCCTCCACCATTGTTTCCGGGTTCCCTCTCTTAAGCCCCCTGTTCCCACCCCAGCCCTAGCCTGCCATCTTGACAGGCATCTTTTACTTTGGGTCACGTGATTTCAGTGTTTTGAAAACTCCCTTTTGACTTCTTCCAGAAAATGAATATCCATTGATGTTCTGATAAGTTTATTATATTTTTGTTTATTATTTTATAATTAGAAATTTTATATTTTGACTCCCCGAATAATTTACTTATTGCAATTATATTATCAATCAACTACAGGTATTAAATAATTTTTGAGATTTTCCTATAGTAGGTAGTCCTCACTACTAATTGTTTATAATTAGAACTCTAGGAGAAAAATAAGTTACTGCTAGATTTGGTTTTTGGCTTGTTTGTTTGTTTTGGGGCCACACCCAGTGATGCTCAGGGCTTATTCCTGGCTCTGCACTAAGAAATTTCTCCTGGAAGTGCTTGGGGGACCATATTGACTGCCAGCAATTGAATCTGGGTTAGCCATATGCAAGGCAAACACCCTACCCTCTGTACTATCGATCCAGCTTCTAATTTTTTTTTCCTTTTTGGGTCACACGGCTGTGCACAGGGGTTACTTCTGGCTCTGCATTCAGGAATCACTCCTTGTGGTGCTCACGGGACCATATGGGATGCTGGGAATCAAACCCAGGTTGGCCGCATGCAAGGCAAATGCCCTACCCACTGTGCTATTGCTCTAGCCCCCCCCAAATTTGTTTTATACCTTTATTAAAACAGTAGTGTTCCATAATAATTGCAGCCATGTATCTAAAGCTTTTTTGTTCTTCTGATCACATCCTAAAACAAAATGGCTGAGTAAAAAAATTAATATATTTCCCATATCTGTTGAAATAATTGCTAAAATACTACTTAAAAATAAGCACTGGGAGCAAACTCTTTTTCAAATTGTGAAGAATAACAATTACGTTTTTAAATAAAGTTTACAACACTATTAAACCATTTTTACTTTTCTGAATTAATGCCAGAAGTATATTTACACATTTAATAATTTACTTTTTTCCCAATTTTGGTAGAGATATATATTTGGGGGGCCTCGCAAGCAGTGAGAGTTGGTCCAGTTGTGCAGCCCTGAAGGCCTGGTACTTGGCCCAGTGATGTGATGCTGCTTGGGGCCACCAGCATCATCCAAGTGATGCTAGCAGCTCATCAGGTTTTTTCAGCCAGAGATGCTCAGGGGACCATGTGGTGTTGGATTCATATTTGGGGCTTTTTCATGAAAAGCATTTGCTCTGGCCCTAGAAAACGTATAGAATAGTAGTTATGTTTATTTGCAGGTCCACAAAATGCTAAGGGCCAGGGAAGTAGTCAGTGCTCACATATTTCATATCTTTGAAGTTCTGGATTAGGTCACAAGTTAGGGCCCCTCTCAACACTACCTCCTCTCCCCTCCACACACACACACATACACACACATATAAAAAAGGAATGTTGTAGGAAATATATCATCTTCAGCAATAAGCAAGATAGGCTAAATTGAGGTGGAATGAAAGAGACCTGAGTGTCCTTTCCCTAGTGAGGCACTTTCAGGAGAAAAGGAGAGAGTAGAGAGGCAGAAAGAGAGGGCCTTCTGGGGTCATTTGCATATCCTCAGAAACATTAGTGGGAGGCTGGGATGGAGGAATTAAATCTGCTCAAGAACCAAAATACTGTTCTTTTTATACCCCCACCTACGCATCCTCCACACAACGCTGCACACACACTGGTGCTTTTTATAACCAGGCATTTTGAAGCTTCAACCCCTCAATGCATCAGCTGCAGTGAAAAGCCAGTAGTTTTCTTTTGCAGGTTTTTACTTGTGAGCATGAAAAACGTGTTTACTGGTTTAGATTTATTATTTGTGTTTTAGCTTTGCCACAGGGAAGGGTGGAAATATTTCGCCCATTTTTCATGAACCTACACAGAAGTGGATGGAAGTAAGCGTCTCTGTTCAACCCAGGGTTGCCGATTAATTGTCCCTTTTTCTTTGCTGCAGTTATACTAGTCAAGGAGCAGAAAACAGGTTAGAAAAATATAGGCCATCAGATTTAACTGAAGGAAAGTGGTTACATCTTTCTGTCTCCTTCCATTTTTCAGAAGTCACTATTCCTTTAGAGAAAGTTGCAGAGGCATAAAAATAATTGCTTGTGTAACATTGCTCCTTTTCTTCCTCCCTAAAATATAAATCGTATAAATGACGTAAGCGAAATCATATTTAAAATACACTGGGTTTTTAAAACATTTCCCAGGACAGTGAACCCAGGTTGCCAGTGCACTCTAGCGCCAAAATAGAATGTTAATGTCACAGGAGAAAAGTAGCTGTACACATTTTTTTTTTTGTGGGGGCCGCTGGGGGGGCAACCATCTGATCATGCCTGATCATGACGTATTCAATATGCCAAACACAGTAACAACAAGTCTCACGGTGGAGACATTACTGGGCCCGCTCCAGCAAATAGATGAAGAACAGGAGAACAGTGCTACAGTGCTTAGGTCTGGGGAATGTCATCTGAAAAACAAAACATCTGAAAAGAATACACAAACTTTTCTTGTGGTTCCACTTGGGGGAGAAGACCCCATAGAGGGAACTGACCTTTCTCATAATCATGACTCTTCATTGAGGTAGGTCTCATGTTTATGTAAGTTTTAAAGTTTATTTTTTCTTAATTCAGAATGCATTTTCTCTTAGAAATGTTTTAATTCATTGATAGGACTGCATGTGCAATGCAGTGAAAAAAGAGTTGGCCCTGGAATCTTATTTGGACTTAGGTGTTGCTTTTCCTCCAGGCGAGGGTTTTCTATGTTTTGGGCCACACTCAGCAATGCCCAGGGGTAGCTTATAGCTCGGCACTTTGGAATTACTCCTGGTGGTGTTGGGCGACCATATGGGATGCTGGGGATCGAACACTGGTCAGCCGCGTGCAAGGCAAGTTCCCTGTCCTTCTGTACTATTGCTTTGACTAATCCAGGATTTCTTAATACTGTAACTGTTGACAGTTTGAACTGGTTACTTATTTTTGTGGTGTGTATGTATTGTAGGATATTTAATTGTATCCTGGGCTTCTACCCAGTGGCTGCCAGTAGCAGTCCCCCCAGTCACGACAATCAAAATTATCCTCATGCATTGCCAAAATTGTTCCTGGCTGAGAAGCACTGATCTAAGCATATGCGCTGTAAGACTTGAGTTACGTAACAGCCCTCAGCCTGTTTTCACTCCATATGCTGGGTACTTCTTCAAAAGAGATAATGTGTGGTTTTGAACGTGCTCTGTAGTCTGGCTACATGTGTCTTTATTTATATGTGTGCTTATATATATATATATGTGTGTGTGTGTGTGTGTGTGTGGTGTGTGTGTATGATGTTAAAATACATATTGTTTTTCCAGTATTGAGTCATTCTTTTTATTTGTGGAATTAAACCTGATCATAAAGTAACACTTCTTCCCCTTTAGACCTCCGTGCCATGCCCTTCCCTTGCTGGCAGCACTGAAAGATGCATCCACTCTCCTCTCTCTTCCTCTGGTCTTTATTTCCTTCATGAAACCGATCACCACAGAACATGCTATAAATTTCTTTCTTTCCCCCACAGAAAACTCATGGCCAGGGAGAAAAGGTGAGGGGGGTGGAGGTGGGGAAGCATCATCTGTTTTGTTGATTAACCGCTCCAGTTTTGGGATATAGATGTACCTTTGTAAATATTCGTTGAATGAATAAATGGAATAAATGCATATTTTCTTAGAAATTAATCTACTTGGGTTAGAGCTTCAAATGTTTTGCCAACAGGGGGCCAAGTGATGTGGGTAGGGTATTTGGTCTTGCAAATGGCCTGCTATGGTTTTGCAAATGACCCAGTATACCATATAATCCCCTGTGCTCATCTGAGCACAAAGCCAGGAATAAGCCCTTAATACCAGTGAGTGTGGCCAAAAAATACAACAAAATAACTTCTGGAGGTTAAAAAAGAAAATCTAGATTAGCCTGTGATCTGCTCTGTTGGTGGTTTCAGAGTGTCTGGATCATTGATCAAGTTGATTTATTCTTTGACACTACCATAGTTGGAAGAAAGTAAATTTGGAGTTTCACAGGAACAAGTAGAACTCTTGATGGTGAGCACAAATTTTCTAACTTTGTGATCTTGAGTCACT